TTGCTTGGAAATTAATCATGCAGGAAATGATTAACCGCAGTGAGTGTCTGTCTGCCTCTGACTCAATAGGTTTAAGAGGGAGGGCCTTCAAGCAGCCCAAAACGGCTGACCAGACACAAACTGCACTTGCAGTCTGCTTGTTCACACTGTCCATCCCAYGAGAGAGGTCACATTTCTTTTTAGCATTTGTAATTACTGGGTGGATTGGTTAGTATTTCAGGTGTTTCATAGTGTCAGTCATTAGCAATTTAACATAATGTCCATTTCTTAAATTCAGCTCTTCCCCCCCTGACCAACAGCAAATACTGATCTGAGTGCACTGCTGAAGTGTAGGCCAGTATCTCAGGACATCTCTGTTCTGCAAGAAACAGTGATTCTGTGAATGAGTGATGAACAAAGCAGCTGCAGAGTTCGAGTGCAGCRTTGTGCTGACCCAGCTGCTTTGGTTCTGCAGCCCAAGAGGTGCTGCTCTTCCCAAGGGTCACCCCCAGCACTGTCCTGTGCTGTGGGGCAAGTTGCCAGGCCATTGCACCTGTTTCATTTTTGCTTACAGTAAATCAGACAAAGAAACAGATTGTATGAAATTTAACAGCTGAACAGCAAGGGTGAGTCACAGCTTCAAAGGTGCTATTTCATCCTGCAAAGTTTCAGCTTCAGTTTCTAAAAATCTTTTTCCTCAGCAGAAGCAGAGTCAGAGTGACAAAAGTATGAGTAAAGCAGTATTGCAGCTTTGGTTTTAAACGAAAATGTGACAATCTAGCGAGTTTTGCTGTTTCTGTTACTGTATGCATTATACTTTTTTGTGTGGGCACACGCGTTTCTCAGTCACACCACGTGATATCTTTCCTGATGGCTCCTAAAGGAAGTGTGTGCTCTAGAACATCATGAGTAAACAACCCTGCAGGATGCTTGTGTTAAATTTCAGGCCTGTTTKGCCAGAGTTTGGTTTATTACAGAAGGTTGTCCTGTAGTTCCAAAATGGTATTTTCCAGCCTGTCACTGAGGGCTACAGGGCTTGTTCTACAGCAGCACCAGTGTGTATCTAATTTCCATGGCAGTTCTGTTGACAGAGYCCCTCAGTACCAGAAATGCTACCTAATGCGCAGAGGTTAACTCCAGGTGGGAGTTAGTAAGATGGGATAGGGAAGGAGGGAACATCTAGTGCCTTTCTTCCCACCGCCTCCTTGCAAATAMTGTGTGCAGGGAAGGTTTTAGAGAAGTTGGATGTGTCAGTGAAAAGTGGCTTCCCCTTAGAGAACTGAGTCTTCAAACATCCCCTTACTTCTTTATTCCCACCAATTCTTTAAGAAACTGAGCTAAACCAACGTGTTAAAAGGGAAAAAAAAGTAGAACAGAGCAGTCCAAGCAGGAAGCAATCTCTGTCAGGGAGGTAGACAACTTAGGGTGTTYTACAGGCTTCACAGACCACCTGGCTCACTTCCTGCATTCAGGTCTGAGCTGCCTTAAGGGATTCATTTRAAAGTCTGATACTGAACCAAACTGTATTCTGCCTGCTCCAGAAACTTTCCTGTGACACGTGGAGTTCCAAGAAGACTCATGGTACATTATCTAGGCTGCTTTGACCTATAAGCAAAGCMGTGCAGAGATCAGAATTTCTCTTTTTAATCAGCCGAAGCAGTTAAAAGCTTAGTGAAATACCCTCATGGCACAGTTAAGCTAGCGAAAACTGCAGCTGTGGAAAGACTGTGTTAAGAAACAGGATGGTTGTGGTCTACACTAAGAAATAATTTTCCTGTTGACTATTTTTTTAAACAGGAAGCTGAAGAACAAAGCAGCATTAGTCTTGGTGCTTTTAATAGGCTTCAGATTTCAAATATTACATTTAAAATATGCTGATTGGGAAAGGATAGGGCTTTGTGAGAGTTTTATGTAACAACTGAAAACGAGAAATTTGTAAGATGGAAATATAAYTAAATTGGAGCAGATCCTCTGAATACGCAGCTGTTGTTTCTCTGGAGGAGCTTAAGATGCTCGGTAATGCAGCAGAGGACTGCTGAGAGCAGGCTGGTCTGTTTGCAGGACTTGGTGAACGCGTGCGTTCGCACAGCGCTGCGTAGGCTTGGCTTCACACAGTTTCCTCTTTGTCAGTCGGTCTGTCCCTCCGCCAGCTTCCCCTCTCTGCTTGCTCTTTCGCAGTAACTGGGAACAGTTCCTGCAGTATGGGCGATGAAAACCTGCAGACACCAGAGACAGCACTGGTGCTTCACACCACTTTGGACTCCATGATTTTTCTAGATAGTCAGCCCCAACTATGGGTGATATGTCTGACTCCTCCTTCCCTAAAGGTTTCATGCAAAGTCCGTTAAAGTCTTACTTCAGGAAATATTTCTTCTGAGGAAGGTAACTCAGCAATTTTTTTTTTTTTGGGGGGGGGGGAAGGGAGGGTTATAGCTATATTGTGATTCTTCTGAAGCATGATGACATAAATCTGTACTTCTAACCAGTTTTTTTCTGACACAAATCATGGATCATGTCRGAGCCATTACAGACTTCGTAGGTGGGGACACTGCAAATGTCATTTCATGTCATTCAGCACATTTTCGTAATGGTCTTTTTAACTGTAAAGGGTACTGTACRTAGCATGATGTTGATTTGACAGACACTGTGCAATTACACTTCCCCTTGGTTTAATCAAAAACAATGAAGTCACTTGAAAAAGTAAGAGCAGTGTATATCTTGTAAATAACTGCCCTGGGGACCTCAGCTGTCAGCCTGGGGTTGTCTGGAGAATTACTCTTATTCCTATTCCATCTGTGTTTATCTGTTTTGTGYGAACATTATATAAGGGGTTGCAAATCATTATTATTGAAGGTGGCTCAGGTGAATGGCCAGCACAGGTGAAAGCTCAGATAGAGTACAGCACATGCTGAAATGCTATAGCACCATTACAAATGCCCCAAAGTCCCTGATAGGCACAGTTCCAGCATGCTATGTGCCAAAATGCCACAAAAAGCCTTTTTGACTTGAAAAAGTAGTCCTTGACACTTGGAACTCTTTTTTTTTTTTTTTTTCTTTTGTTGTTCCATAATTTTGTTGCAGTAAAGTTCTATATCTCAGGTGTGACCCTCCTAACATTGCCTGAAGCTTAAAGTTCAGCTTGGGGGTGGGGAAAAGTGGGAGCCTGGTCTCTGGCAGGGAAGTTTATGGGGGCTGAGCTTTCGCAGCCAGGCTTTTTTCTGTGCAGCAGCCTGCAGCTGAGAGGCCGGATTGCCTGCTTACTCTTTCTCCTCCAGGAGGATACCCCAAATATGAAGGTGTGTGCTACTTCCGAGGAGAAGGAAGGTGCATTCAAACAATGATGAGAGAACGTGGAATCTTCAGAGCAGGCAGTGAGGAAGAAGTATGAGTTTGTCCTGGAACTCTGCTGTTCTGCCCCACCCTAACAGTGTAGATGTGGGAATCTTTTAGCAACTGAAGGGATTTGACAGGTCAGCGTCTCTTTCTGAGTATAACATATGATGCCTTCTTGAAATAAGAGTTGATGGTATAACTGTGGGACTATCCTGAAGCACTTCCATGGAAACAAGATTGTTGGATTTGAGTTCGATTTGATTACTGCATTTTGTGCACTGCCATAGTGATGCATGGATTGTGTAAGTGTTCCAAACTCTGTGTATGTATCTATGAGTTTGMATGRCAGTGGGCATCATGCAGAGAGCCCTTGTTAAAARATGCAGCTGGTTTCCATGCAATTAAAGTTCAAAAATGTAGAAAATAAACCTGTTAGCTGCAAGGATGTTTTTYAGCYGAGTAGAAATGAATTAATTAAGATRTATTAATCTCTGGACCTTGTGTGTTTGTGTTCTGCTGTGCAGGTTTCTTAGCAAGAGCAGACAGAGCTCAGCCTTCCACCATGCCTGTGCCCCCACCTCCAGCTCCCCCTCCACCCCCAACATTGGCCTTGGTAAGTTTTACAAGAGGTAAATGTACCCWATGTACTGTTCTCTGCTGCTGCTTGTCACATTGAATAGCATGTCCACAGATACTGAGGTGTGGATGAGGGTATCCATGATATTTGGGGAAAGCTCTCCAACACTTTGTTTATGGTTGATCATTGATCCTACGAGAAGGACCATAATTTCCATTCCCTTTCCGTGCTCATGTGGATGTCACTTCTATTCCTCCCACACTGGTGGCTGATCTGGTGGAGAGAAAAGAGTTTGTGTAAGTCAGGGAATCCTTTCTATCTSCTTGCCTATCTCCACATGTGTACTCCCACCTTCTCCTTTGTTCTATTCCAGTACTTACATGACTTGAACTGGAAAAAAAAATCAATCCTATTGTTTAAATTTGGTAAGGATTCCACCACAAGCAAGATACGGACTCTGCTTGGTCTCCTTCCATGACAACTCTMCTCATCTTCATGAAATCTCCACAACACTTATCTGATAAGTTAGAAAGTGTTTCAGGAACCATTTCCTAGAAGAAAGAACTAYATATATTTGTGCATGTATATGTCTATGGTTTGGAGTTTGTTCTTTTTTGAAAAACTGTGTCACTAAAACGTGAAATTAAAAGAGAGCACCATTGAGACAAACCTCATACGTCCACAGATTTTATTTGGTCTGTATGAACAGATTTTATTTGGTCTGTATTGTTAAAGTGGCAATTGCCATTTTGAAGTATTTCTATCAAAGCTAAAATAATAGACAAAGAACCATCTTTGCTCTGATTTATCTAGAATTTGTATTTCACTACTACTTTCAAGAATGTCCACCTTCTTGTATAATCAGGTTATATATGTAATCTGTTTTTGTTCAGTCTCTGGAATGGCAATTTGCCACAGATATGCCTTGGCTTTAAAAAATCAGAGACTCTAAATCATGAGCTCAAAAAAGGTGAATTCACACAGAAGTGTTATGTTTCCAATGAATGATGTGGRTTAGAATAGCAGTAGTGTTACGGACTTTGAGTCAATAACAAGGCCAGCTACCTTTAATATCTTTCACAAAACCAGAGATGGCATGCTACCTACCCACTCCAGTGTTGTTAAAACAGACACTGCAGTCTCAAGTAACTACTATATTTGAGCAGAATTTTGTGTCCAGAAGTTGAGGTTTATGTTTCAAGTTTTGCCTCCTCATTTTTAATTTTTGTTTTGCAGGCAAATACTGAGAAGCCATCCCTAAGCAGGTCAGAACAAGCAGGGCGAAATGCTCTATTGTCTGATATTACCAAAGGAAAAAAGCTCAAGAAGACTGTTACTAATGACAGAAGTGCTCCAATTCTAGACAGTAAGTATGATTCTACATGTTGGGATTTCGGGAGGCATGAATGCCTCTACATATCTGAAAGCAGAAAATYATTTTATATATCATCAGATGAAGTGCAATGAGAGAAGTAGATAAAAGAAAGTGCTAGAAATTGGCATGCATAAAATTCTTTTCATTGTGAATGAACAGGTGAGAAATCAAGTACTGCTTATGAAATTTGGATGCTAATTTGTTTACTAATTCTCATAAAGTGTTCTATTTTCTGGTTTGCTTATATAAGAAAACTACACAAGCCCTACCAGGAGTTCTCCTGAGGACCTGCAGCAGATCAAAAAAACAAAACCCCCATAAGGACTGAGGAGAGGACAGAGAATGAAGGGGAATTTCAGAGTGTAATTTTCCATAAACAGTATAAGAATAAATGCATGCCTGACAYGACTCCACTGACTCCAGTACCATTTAGAACAAAACCAGAGCCAGAAGCCGCAGTTGTACCTGTGTGTCACTGCTGCATGCAGTTTTGCYGCTCCTGCTGTGACTCAGGGGTGTTACTTTTTGGCTGAGCCTTGCTGCTCAGCCTGCCCAGCAGCACAAGACAGTGACTCTGCTTACCTGAATGGAAATAAGGTCTCTATTCAGTTAAGCTGCTGCTTGTATCTCACAGCACATCTTGGGGTGTGCTGAGGGGAGGCTGGAGATGCCCGTGTAGCTAAAGTATTGGGAAGRCAGAAGAGAAACAGAAGAGTGAGGAGCATGGCCCTGTGCTGACAGAGGAACAGTGTTCATATACTGAAGGAGAAAAGGCACTTCTACAGGCTGATTAGCAAATGTGATGCACTTCAGTCTAGGTTTGGTCATGCARTTAAAGGCTGGACTGTGATAGGAGCATGATGAGGAAAGAAGGAAATGCCCAGAGGAGTGTGACCAACTGAAAGTAATTTTTTTTWAAAAATAGAGTTTTGCAATCAGTCTGCTAGAGTTTTTAAAGGCATATTATCTCTGAATGCAAAATTACATTCTAGCAATTGTAATGAGCTGGAGGGGATTAAAGGAGAGGGTAAATAGTAAGATAAAAATGATGAGCAGCCTATTATCTTGTTTACATCAATTAACAAATCATGATGAAAGACTAAACTAGTAGCAGCATTTCTCCAGCGGTTCACACCCTATCTGACTCAGAGCTGAACTGAGCTCGCATKCTTAAGAAAGAGAAGGATAATGCCAAACATTCTCCCATGGATACACTCTTCTTTTTTTCTTGGAGAGATTTTTACAAGTGGTCTTCATCCACATGTTCTAACTACTTTGAAGTCAGTGAAATTTTTACCTACCCAAAGCTGTGGACATKAAGATGCCAAGAAATTAAGCAACTGATCTTCACCCATGTAGCCCATCATCTGAGAGCTGATCTCCACAGATATCCCAACCTGTGCATCTGCTCATTTTACAGTGATGCTCTGGATAGGGCTCTTGTCTGTATTGTAGTTGTGGAAACACTCTCATTTTACTTTTGGCAACACAGTTGTCACAGCAGAAATATTGGCATTAGAGAGAAGTGGGAAAGAAAGGGGGAGGGCTGATAAAATAATTCCTGCCTATTGGAAACATTTACAGCTGAAGATCCTATCACTGCACTTCTAAACCTACAGCAATGACATCTCCTTCCTTAGTAGGCTTTGTTTAAATAAGTAGGTATGTTGCAATATCATCAATAATGAGAGTTCTGTGCATTCCCAGCAGTGATCACTAGAGACATCTTCAAGGGGAAGGACCCTCTGCCTTCCTCCTTCTTCCCGTGAGATTGCCCTGTTTCTGCTTATGGAGAAGTGGAGGGGAAGGATAAGAGAGCAAAAGTATGAAAAAACAGGAAGAAGCAAATAAGAAGCTAACGAAGACTACATGCTATTCTCAGAGATCCCATCCATGCTCAGTTCCAAATTTTCCGCAGCAATTTGCTCTGCTTTGAAGTGTAAAGCTGACTAAAGTGATGGCTTAATGAAACACAGAGGCGATGGTTATTATGGTTACTGCATCACCTCCTCCACAGTGCAGTAGTTGTGGTTATGATGGTAGCTGTGATGATCCAAACCTTGTGTGTTTTGAAAGTTCATCCATTTCTTCCCCAGCTACAAGCATTATTGTAATGAAAGAAGTGWCTTTGCAGGATCAGTCTTGCTTCACTAATGTGGAATTTTTTTCCCAACAGAACCCAAAGGACCTGGAGGAGGTGGCGGTGGTGGCTTTGGAGGAGGTGGCGGTGGCAGCAGCGGGGGTTTTGGTGGTGGCAGTGGTGGCGGCTTTGGTGGTGGTGGGCCACCTGCCCTTGGAGGCCTTTTCCAAGCAGGAATGCCAAAGCTCCGATCTGCTGCAAGTCGAGATGCTGGTAAGAAAGAATCTGAATTTCCAGTGTRAAAAAAGATATTGCTTAAAGCCATCATAGCACTGCAGTAAATTACCTGCTGAGACTGAAAAAGCCATCAAATACCTTAGGCTCTTAGGAAATGCAATTTTCAGCTTGAGTCTTGTTTTATTCTTACTGTTAGTTTTTATGAGGGAGAAGAAAGACTCGCTTTCTACCCATTCTCCCAGTTATTGATGAAAACTAAGGATCTTGGTAGTGTTGAATTGCTACCTGCCAGGGACAGTCACACAGATTACATCCTGCCTTAGCTGTTGGTGTACAGGACCAGAGGGGAACGCAGGAGGATCCAGATCTTTCTTGTGCACCAGGAAAAAGAAAACTACTTTCCAAATGGAAAGTACTTCTGTATCAGCTCCACAGCAGTATGATTYGTTGCTTAAGGAGTGCATGAGGCATCCCAGCTGGCTGGGATGCACACTGYAGATGGAGGCATGTCTGGAACAGGTATCGTGCTTCTGGCTGACAAAACAGCTGCCTGAAGCCTCGTGGCCCTTTAAATGAAGGACATCTGGGGCCACTGAGTTATTTAAGTTTAAGGACATAGGATTTCATGCTAGTTGAAAGACTGTGCAATGGTGGTTGTAGAGTGTTACAAACATTACATATTTTGTAGCCTAACAATTTTTCAGTGCATGTGTACAAAGCAGTCTCTCAGAGCTGGTATTTTCTATTGTGTCACAGTCTATTTTGGGARCTTGTACTAATACAAAAGTTCCTGGCATCACAAAAAAGTACTGCAGTACTTCTTAACTGCAGGGCAGGCAGCATTCTTCCTGATGTGCACAACTGGATCCTTAGGTCACAGCTACTAGAAAGGGCTGAAAAGAGCCTTTTGCTGGACTTTTGTTGCTCATGTAATTTAAAAGCCAACATTTCTTTGCTCTCAGGTTGATAGTATCCAGTAATTGGTCTTTACCAATTTTTCCCTCCCACTGTTAATTGCTTGCTGTGTGATGGCTGCGCCACTTGTATTACTTTGTGGCCACTTAAGTCGCCCCTCGTAAGCAATATCGGGATGTCACCTGCGATTCTGGAGTTGTTCCCCAGTGGTACCGGGCATGGGTGTCCCGTGCCGCAGAGCGCCCCTTCGGAACCGCAGAGCTGCTGCGCCGGTGCTGATGCCCCCTCTCCCGTGCTGATGCCCCCTCTCCCGTGCTGATGCCCCCTCTCCCGTGCTGATGCCCCCTCTCCCGTGCTGATGCTCCCTCTCCTGTGCCCGCAGACAGCGGGGGAGGCCGCCCGCCCGTCCTGCCGCCCGGAGGCCGCTCCGCTGCCGCCAAGCCCTTCTCGCCGCCGAGCGGCCCGCCGCGCTTCCCGGGGCCGCCCTCAGGGCCGCGCAGCGCCGCCCCGGACCTGCAGAGGAGCCGCGTGCCACCGCCGAGGCCCGACGCCGGCTCCAAGCCTGAGGCGACGCCGCCACCGGTGCCCAGCACGCCCCGGCCCATCGCCTCCAGCCTGCACAACCGGGGGTCGCCGCCGGTGCCGGGGCTGAGCCGGCAGCCCAGCTTGGGGCCCTCGCCCCCGCCCTTCCCGGGCAGCCGGGGCGCAGGGTCGGCGGGGCCCCTCCGGCAGCCCGGCCCCGGCGCTGCGCCCCCCTTCTCGGGCCGGCCGCCGCTGCCTCCCACCCCG